TCTGAGTAGCATTGGCAAGGTACTAGCTGTGGAAACCACAGTTCTTGATCTCCTGACTTTGGAAAATATGTATCTCCATCAGAAAAACACAGGTAGCGATCTTCTTTCTTCACAGAACACTCCCCAGCATGTTAAAAAAAAAAAAAAAGAAAAAGAAAAAAGGAAGAAAAACAAAGCAAACCAAAAAAAAAAGGAAAGCAGCTCCCTCGGAAAGACCTGCCAAAACACCCTGCATTAGTCGTGAGCCCTCCCTCACATACAGTTTTGCCCGAACAAATTGTAGAAGGCTGACATTAATTTTTAAGCCCAGATCAGCCCCAAGATAGTGCTCCTGCATGCAGCCAGCACACTGCAGTGCCATAAGGACAATAAATGCACATTCAGCCTGAACTCCTCCTAGGACATATGTTACACATACTCCCAAGCATCCCATCCCTTCGGTGTGAGCATCCTACCACAGCACCTATGGAGCTACACAGTGATAACAGTTCACTAGGGAGGCAGGTGCAGATGGATGTGAGGCAGATGCAGAAAGGCCATTTTTCCTACATGACTGCATCTGGGGTTTCAGACAGCAGTTATCATTAAGAAAACATCTGGCCTTCACAGGGCCACCAAGCTCACAGAGGCAGCCTGGGGAAAGCAGAGAGCTGGCCCAGGGGCTTGTGCTTCCCCTCCTATGCCATTTTGTCCTCTCGTGTGCCTTGAACTTGGGAGCTGTCTTGGGTGTTTCACTTCCCAGTTCCAGGTGCTCTCTGCCCATGTTTCCGTGGGTTTGGCCTTCCCTGTTGGGAGTGCAGGTGAAGCTGCTTAGGCAGTGATGTGGATGTTCAGCCTGGCTTTCCACATTTTGGCAGCACGTGCACGACTGTCTCTCTCAGCCCCAAAACAGGGTCAGGCTCCCCCAGCCCAATCAGCAATACACATTGGGCCCCAGATAGTTCTATCAGAAAGGTCAGATCACCAGACCCCAAAATTGCAAACCCATCCCGTCAGCCCAAGGTGGGTCCCTGCCTGCGTCTTCAGCACCCGGGCTGCAAATGAAGAGCTTTGACCTCCTCGCCTCGGCCACATCTCCCTCCTGGGCCTGCACAGCCTCCTGGGCTCCCCCCTCACTCCTCTGCCGTAAAGGCATAATGACACACTGAAAAATGTGTAAGTTAAAAAAAAATGCGTCTGCTGGATTTTGTGTGCGTTTTTTGTTTTGTTTCATTCTTTTTGCCAAACCAAGACACCACTATGCACTTCTCACATTAGCAGATGTTTGCCATGCTCTTTATGGGTGGCAGACACTGAAATGAGGGCAACAAACACAATTTCACAACTTCTAGAGAAGAGACAGAGCAGGCTGCAGGGAAGCAGCCAGCTCAGCCTGCAGTGCAGTATGAGGTAGGACTGGGGGAACTGGTGATCACGGTGCAGGAAGGAAAGGCAATAAATTGCTCTCCTGCTTTTGGGGGGAAGCCAGAGGAAGTACTCATGTCACAAGGGTGAAACACTTTCCACTGAAATGGTAACTCAGGAAGATGTCAAGCTACAGATGCATAAGGCAAAGTTAAAAACTCAGCAGGCCCAGATATTGTGCATCCAGTTTTTTTTTTTAATATTATCATTATTTTTTAATCTGAACTGGTAATGCCGATCTCTAACATGGCAAGGAAGACTGGAGAAGCTCCAGAGACTCAGGAGAAATTAATATTATGCCAGCATTTGTAAAAGGTAAACAGGATGCCCTTGTAAATAGGTGTGTCAGAGTCATTCCATGCAAAATAATGACTGAAAGATATGTGATTACATAGATAAGGACTTAAAGCAGAGAAATATAAATACCAGTCACCAGGGCTTACAGGCAATAAACTTGTCAAACTAACACAATAGCTTTTGTGCCACTCTATGTCCTTAAATATCCCAAAGACATCTGATTTGTGCTGCAGCACGTGTGCTCAAGGAACAGGAATCTCTGCAACCTGGCCAAGCATGAGAAGAGATGCTCCCGGGGGAACTGGCAGATTCGAGCAGGAAGGCTGAAGAGCAAAAAGTGAAGGAAGGTAAGGAAGGAATGAGTGATGAAGTGTGCAGTCCCGGGAACCGGGGCACAGCCAGGAGCAGGGACACCAAGTCAGCGACCTGTAGCTGTTAGGAGCATCCGAGCAGTGGATGCAGCCGTTGATGGTGCTCAGGGGGAGGATTTGGAGAGCCAGACTCAGTCTGGCTGGGCAAATCGGTGCCTGTGTTCTTGGCCCCATTTCTGCAACCACCCTGGGGCCCAGGGAGCCCGGCCAAGCTGGGGACTGAGCCTTCTTCACCAAGAAGAGACGGGTTCAAAAGGGAGTGGACACAGGGAAGACCCTGCGGGGATTTGCCATGGCAGGGTGCCCGGTGCGCGCGGGGAGCGTTCTCGGTGCCTGCAGTGCAGCTGTGCTTCTCTTCTGCTGTGGTGCACAGGAGTGGTGAATCCCTGCAAGGTCAGCAGGCCATGAATTTCCAGTGCGAGTTTGTGGGGAAAAGGCCTCTTGGTGTTTGTTCCCCGTTTACACATTCACACACAGGCAGTGACGGGACGAGAGGTTAAAGTAACTCTGTGCTTGACATTCCTGTTCCCACAGCCTGAATCCCGCGCCCGAGTGCAGTGTTGGTGGCTCCCAAAGGACACTGATACACAAGCGGGTTTGGGTGAGAGCCAAAGTGTGGAAAACAGAAAATATGCCTTAAAGCAAAAGGCTCTGGAACTTCTCCATCAATTCAGTCTATCATAATGGAGGAAGAAAAATTGTTCATAATAATATACAAATTCCTTGGAGAAGAGCCAGCCACTTACAGGGAATTAGAAAATACAGCCTCAATACAAGGTGCAGGCACTTTACAGTCTGGATCATTGAACTTTGGAACAACCTAGCAGTCACTGCCACAGAAACATATCAGCTCAAGATCAACTGTTTTTTTAACAGCCGTGCTCTGACATACACAAGAATTAATACAGTGCCGCCCCGCCGCCTGTGTCATGCAGGAAGTTGCACTGCTGGAGCCTAGCAGGCCACTCCGACTCTGTAATCTGCGGAAAAAACCCTGCCTGTCTTTCCCTTCCTCCCGTCCAAGTGTGTGAAAGGTCCCGCCGGCCCTGCTGGAGGCGTTTTCAGGAGAGGCAGGTTAGCGGCAGGCAGCCCCCGCGAGCCGCGCTCCTGTCTGCGGCCCCCCTGCCACACACCAGAGCCAAGGGGGCCACGTCCATGGGAAACGAGCTCCAAACCCCATCTGAAAGCACCCGAGCGGGGCTGAGAGACCACAGGCCACCAGTGCGGGGGGTGGGATACCAGCTCCTCTCACAGCTTTCTGTTTTCCTTCTGAGAAAAGCAGGGAAGAAACAGAGCAGGAACAGCAATCCATGTGGTGCCAGCCTGTCACAGCACACGGCCCTGTGGACTCCTCTGGGCTATCCTCAGCTGCAAGCACTGCAAAAAAACCTCAGAGCAGAGCCAGCAGCACGCCCTGCCTTTGCAGCAGCTCCCCGCAAGAGTCAACAGCTCCAAGGAGCAAAAAGCAGTCCCGTCAGTGCGGAGGGCTGCGGCTGTCGCCGATGTGTAGCTGGGCTGTGTGGGGGAGCTGCCTTGCTTACCTACGGGTTGTCTGTACTTGCAGCTGAACTTTCTATTTCGCAGCTCACTCCTTTTCAATCCATAGGCTGCAGAACCTCAGTAAAACAAAGGTGACTTTGAAGGGGCTGCAAAATATACCCTAGCAAAGCATCTCCAGATGAACATGCTTAAATTCACCACAGAGTCTATGCTTCCATGAGGCTATTTCTAGGTGCTACAGATCAAAAAGGGCTGCCAGACACTGCCCGCGTCACAGGCTTGTGGAAGGTTTGGATTTGGGAGGACAGTCCACAGCCTCCACAAATATGATGGGTCCGATTAGCTCAGATACAAGCAGTGTGGGAGCAGCTGCAGGCTGTATCTGCTGAGTGGAGATTTCCTCACCCTTAAGACTGGTGACAGATGCTCTTGAGTAAAATACAGTACTAGCTTTCACCACAAGTCAAAAGGGAAGTCCAGGCAAAAGCAGCAAGAGGCGGGCTGGTTGTCTTCAGGATAGTTCTGTGCACCCTGGCATGCTTTGTGGGCAGGCATCTGCCCCCTTTATTTGCAGAGGACCTTTCATTGGGCTCATTCTATGTTACCACTCAAGGGCAGAAGGTAGAACAGGAAAAGCGTCATTGTGTCCAGTTCCAGAAAGAAACGGAACAGATTTTTACAGCCTGGCTAATTCAAGGATGGCACAGCTCAAAGTAGAACGAAATACCTCTCTGAAGGAGGGGAATTAATCCTCAAGTAGCTAAGGAGCTTTATAGGAACACAGAAGCATATAATTATGGAAGTGAAATCATACACCCCTAAGACTTGCAGCAGCATCAGAATACAAACGCTCTGTGCTGTTCTTGAAATGTTGCTCTTCTTGCTGTGGGTTGTGTCATAAGTCTTTCTCACTTTCTTGGCTTTCTGGGGAGTAGTCATAACAGGCTTACAGTGAACAAGATGTTTATTGCTTGTGTTTGCACCCTGCGGATTCACTTTGTAACAGCTCTGTACACATCAGCCCATAGCACCTGGCTGCCAAGGAGGTTTCTTGTGTATTTTAGATTGGAGATGCTCTTCAGCCTTACTCAAAAGGAAGTGAGACTCCTAATGACCCGAGAAACAGACATCAGTGACACACTGTACAGAACATGGGTAACATGGTCTTTGTTCAACAAGAGGGAGTAAAGAACGAACATCTTTTCTGAACCAACAAACAAACCGGGAGAGGAGCGCTCCATGCAGCTCTTCAGGTTCTACATCAGGAAGAAGCAGGAGTTCTCTTGACTAGACGTGAAGATGGGATTCATTCCAGAAGTAAAGCTCTGGATGAACAGGGAGTTCTGATCCCAAGGGACAAAGGCAGAGCTACAAAGGCAGAGCCACTAGTAGCTCTGCACAAACCACCTAGCGCTAAATCAAACCCAGGGAGGGGTTCCCAGCTCCCTGGATATGGTATGTGGGTATGCAAAGAGACTCAGAAGTCCTAGACAGCATCCAGGAGCGGTGGCTGCAGCAGGAGCAATGCTGGTAATGGCTCTTCCCTGGGTTTTCTTCATCTCAGCTCATCTCTGATATGGATGCATTGAGGCAGACTTGATGTTCGTTTTTATGCCACTCGGCATCTTTCCTGGAGAGATAAAAAAGAAAAAGCCATGCAGAATCGGAAAGGACATTTACTGAGGATTATGCAAGAAGCACAACAGTCCTGTCGGGCCTTCTATTCCACTGCCTGTACTACACTAGGCTTACTTGCCACAACATCTTCCAGTCTGTCATGTAACACAATCACTCTCTCCTACAAATGATTGAGAAATCTGTTGAGAAACCACCTTGACATTTCCTGCCAGTTCCCCCCTTACTTCTGTTCTCGTCCCATCCTAATCCTAATCAAGCCCTTCTTATTGCCATGAGGCTCCCACAGGACAGTTGGACTTTCCAGGCTCACAGAAATTGCTGATAGAGATAAAACCCAGACTGCCCCCCACTTCTATCCAGAGAGACAAACACAAGAACCTGTATTCTCTTATACATAGCATTTTTTATAGTCAGATCATGTATTTAAATTACTAACTCTCAGATCTCTTAAATAATTTCTCTTAAACCACATCTAAATGTAGGGCATTATTACTTTTGGCTGATGCCAATCATACATGGGAGTGTATTAAAAGACATCATGTAGGCAGCTTGGTGGAAGTGTACTGTGCCAGACAAAACTATAATCAGAAAAATAAATAAAAGGACACTGATTAAAGAGCAGCACTCAGGGACACTCCTTCAGAAAGGGGAATGTGTACCCATATTAGAACAGAAAAAGGAATAACTTCTGAGAATTAAAATTACAATGCGACTGGTGAAAAAAATGATGAAGAACTAGCTAACAGAATAAATATTATTGAACTTTTTCAGGCACATCCAAGGCAATGCATTGAGTTGGCAGGTAACCTGACATCACTTCTGTGAAGGAAAAACGTATTAGCGGTGAGGGTGACGGAGCACGAGAATAGGCTGCCCAGAGAGGCTGTGGAGTCTCCGTCTCTGGAGATCTCCAAGGGCTGCCTGGACGCAGCCCTGTGCCACGTGCTCTAGGTGACCCTGCGTGTGCAGGGGTTGGACTAGATGATCCCTGGAGGTTCCGTCCAACCTTAAGGATTCTATGATGACTAACAGTCAGTAGACAAATACTGCTAGACTTTCAGAAAACTGCACTGTAGGGTTCACTGGCATCTGGGGTGCTCTGAGCAGTTCCACTCCTCTCAGCCTTGAAAACATACAGAAGAGGGGCTTTTTTGACAGGGCTGCTCAAAGTTATGTAACAATTTTCAGACAAATACATATTAAATAGACTAGGACTCATTAGCTGAAAAAAATAGATGGACAAAAAGAAGACAACATCAGACTGTTAAAAGCTGGTATGAGGTAAATGAGGAAGAGTTATTCACTGTTTCTCACACATAAGTAAAAAGGAATCAACCAAAGAAATTACCACACAAAAGATTTAAAAACAAAAAGAAATAAGACTATGGGACATTCTGCCACAGTCACTGGAGAAGTCAAAATCATAATTTAGAAAGTGTCTATAGAATTTGATAGCTACTACACACACTGGTCTCAAAGCAAACTGTAGGTCAAAGCATCCCTCAATGGTGACTGCTGAAGGTGTCACCCGAGGTACCCTTTGTTCTTCTATTCTTTCAGTGTCCACTTTTGCTCATTATCAGGAATTGGCTGCTGAGATAGAGGGACCTGTGGCCAAACCCACTACAGTTGCTTTTATCAAAAGGAAAGTCCAGAGTATCACAGGCTGGACAAGTACTCTCGTTACCACCATGCTCAAGGCACAGAAGCAACTGTCTTCTCAGCCTGGAGACACTGTCAGTGGGGATACAGCCAAAAATCATAGAGGCCTTCTTTATTTCCAAAGTGGAAATCACTTTTTAATTCCAACATAAATACATCATTAACTTAGGATTAATACTATTGCTCAAGTTAATTTCTGAACAACGCAGTCATTATACAAGCAAGAAAACACGAATTAAAATATCTGATATCCAGATTTCCAATTAACATGAACATAAAAATAGCGACATGAGGTTAGGGCCGCAGGTCCCCCGGGCCAAACCCATTTCTGACAGCATCTCATAGGGGAGATTTAAGGATCAATACCAGAAGAGGGCAAGCCAGTGGTGATGCCTTCAGAATTTGTGTTGTCATGAATATTGGCCGCTGAGTGATTTTGCATGTAGAAATGTTCCTACTTACTTTTATATTATATATAAACTTCATAAATCTATCACTCAGGTGGACAATGTGCTCTATGATTTCATTATTTAGTATTCAGAAAACTATCTCCTTTTGTCCTAAATCCACAGGCTGGTATTTTCACAGGTGCATTCCTGGAAAATGCAGGGTTCCTTCCTGGATCATGGGAAACTGTGAACCATCATTCCCCATTCATCTGCTTTGTACAGTTTGAGATTTTATAGATTTCCATACATTCTTCTCCCCATCCTCAAACTATCTCTTTCCCAGGATGAAATGCCACAGCTTTCTGAAGTCTTCCCTTCTATGAAAGCCTTTGCAGACCTTTGACCATTTTGTCACCCTTTCCTGAGCCTTTCCAGTTCTATCATAATGCATTTTTTGTTCATTCGTTTGTTTTTTGCAAAGAGCAAAGATTGGAACTACATATAATATTGCAGATGTGGGTGCCCAATAGATGTACTTAATAGCTCCTAACAGTTTACATTTTTGGCTCCAATTGAACTTCCAATTGATGTCTTTACAGAACAGTCATTTAGTTTATGCTGTTGGTCCCTACATTTCTCTCACTCACTCTCAGAGATACTATTTATTTACCTGGTTGTCCAGTTTGTGCCATCTGCACTCCTGCCAGCATTGGCTGCTGCTGAGCTGCTGCACCTGACATTGGGACCTGCTGCATGCCTGAAGCCCCTGCAATGATTGCACCAGCTCCTGGCTGGCCTGACTGCACAGATGCCCCTGTGCCAGGGGGGCGCCGGTTTGACAGCCCCTTCCCAAAGGCCACAGCTGCTACCAGAGCATTGGTATCTGCAGGGTTGAAAGTCTGCTTGTTCTGACGTAAACCTGTAGAAAAAAAATGTTTTTTTGTTTGTTGGTTTGTTTTTTAAGCATTCTGGCAAATAAGTTGGAAAAGCAGTTACATGATTACGTACCTCTACATACATGTAAAATGCCAAGACAAATCTGTTAGCCACTTGACATGCAGTTGCATTTTCATAACTATTTTAATCCATGTTGACCGAGAGGTTTTCTTGGGAAACACCAAAGATAGCATTGATCAACTTGAAGGGGTGTATGGCAAAGGATTGCAATGGCTTTCTGCCATGCACAGCACAATGCTAAGCACAAGTAAAACACACCCCAGGCACTGGGTGCCTTTTCAAATATGGGAGCTACAAGACAGTCAGTCTTGCATCTTCCTGAACATTTTCCTCTGTACTGGTAGTATGTGTTCCCCATGCTTTAGCCTCTCTGCTTTTCCCATTCTGCCGCTGCTCTCTCAAGCTTGTTGCTTGGCCCTGTACCCCACTTGCACCTCATACCTCCACTTTCAGATTCCCGCTCCTCCTTGCTGATTTTCTCCAGCAGATTTGAGCACATTTTGTTCAGACTTTGGATCTGTTTCTACAAAATGAGAAAATAATTAGAAAACACCAGGATACCTCCAACACAGCACAAGCCAGCAAGGTAGGCAAACATGCTTTCTCTTCTCCAGGATCTGTGGAATCTAAGCATTTTGGTAGCAGGACCTGGAGAGTCCCATTCTAGTGTAGGCACCTCCTGCAGAGCAGGCTGCAGACCCTTACTTTGGGAGACTGAGAAACCCAAACTTTGGGGCCAACTGGAGGAATTTCAGACAGAAGAGGAGACAGAAGACAGAGAACTGTCAGATGGAAGGGTGAAGGAGGCAGAACACAGGAGCAAGAGAAGCAGGGGACTTCTTTGCCCTGGTATTAAGAAAGAGACAAAAGCACCAAAGTCGTCTTCCCCTACCTGTGCCACATCAGGGCTGATTCGAGCTGCATCTGTGATCAGTTGTTTCTCCTGCTCTTCCACCTCGGGATCCGGCTTAGTTCGGAGATGATCAGGCACCACCTCATGGCTGAACACCGGCACACGTCCCTCCGTCTGTCGCTGCAAGGTGGACAAGCCACACTCAGAACTTTCTCTTCCAGCTCTGCACTCAAACAGCTCAGACCAGAGCACGGTATAGGATCAAGGTGAGCAGCAAGCTCAGGGGAACCCTTGATCCATGCAGCTTTAGGAAGCGTCAACTATTCATCTAGAAATTTGCACTGTGCCCGTTGAGTCAGAGCGCCCCGTGGGGAGCTGCAGTGCTGTCCCACCTGCTGCCTGCTCACATGGTTGAAATGTTTTCACATTCAGTCCAAGACTAAATCTTGCCAGCTCACACTGTAGGTTCTGCAGTGCCACCCATGATAGTCTGGTGACAAACTAGGTGCACCTAGGTGCAAAGCTAGGTGCAGATGTCTGTCAGGAACAGCACAACTATACCAGAGAAAATAAAAGCTTGCAAGGAGACATCCTGGTTAAATAATGGGATACTACAGCTCCTCAGGCTCTGAGATCTTGAAAATGACATATGAACAGGAACACTTCCTGTAAAGGGCACGAAGAGCAAATGCTTGTAGGGGAAAGCTCCCCAGCAAAGCAGCTCCCAGATAGAACAGCTCATCACCTTTTCTTTCTGTATACCCAGAGCGGAGGAAGGGACAAGGACAACGAATAGCAAGCTGGAGCAAGTACACAAGCACATTCTGATATTGAAGGCCCTCGTTCAGATGGAAGATTCTTACCATGATCTCCTCATCACGATCTGGTGATAGCACCAGGGGTATGATAACCTGGTTTCGCAATAATGGGGTCTTCTCATGCTTTAGCACCTTATTCAAGGTGTTCAGCTGTCCTGAAAGCAACGCAAAGCTGTCCAGAACTGAAGGCCTGGGAAAATAAAGAAAGAGGACAGAACATGGAAAGGGATTCTGGAGATGGTCTTTACCTATTCTTCACTCAAATAGCTGGGAAGTGAGGAAATAACATTACTCTTCCTCCCACAAGTCTCCTTCAGAGAATGAAGAGTAAAACCTAGGGCTGAACACAGAGGACAAATGCCAGTCCCCAGAAATGATGCAGCTGACAGCTCAGGGACACGGTGGGCCCTAAAAGTGTCAGGTGTCTGGGATGTCAAGAGCTACACAGAATGCTTAGCTCTCTGAGTGCTCTCTCAGTAGGACCCTAAAACAAATTCGGAGACACAACTTGACTCCCAAGCAGAACAGTTAGGAAAAACACTATCTGTAGCTCAGTTGTCCAGAGTAATGGATAATGGATCTAGATAGTGGATAATCTCATCGGGCAAGTCTCCTTCAGTTTGTTTTCTTACAAGGATTCACCACCTTTCCTGCCATATACAACAGTAACTATTAATGCTAACTGCCTTTGAAGCTCTGCTGCAGTGATAGACACTGTGTCAGACGCTGTATGGTTTATTAAGCTGAAGCTGCATTGTCCTTTTGCTGCTTCACGAGGAGAATGTGACCCTGCAAGTCTCTCAAACCATCTGGTAAAACATGCAGAACTAGCAGACAGGTACGAGAATTCCATTTACACCAGAGGCAGAAAAAGTCCTAAGGGTCAACAAATACAGAAAGATCAGCTGCTCATTTTATAGCATACGCAGGTCTGTAAGATACTCTGTGCAAGAAGTTTCCAGTCACTGTGGACACAAACAACTACATGACTTACTGTAAAAGGGCCCAGCTTAAAAGATGTTGGCATGACCCTATTGCAGTGTAGTGCAGAACAAATGTTTTTCAGCTGTTTTGCTAGTGGAAGACGTTAAGTGGTTCCATCAGTAGAAATGTGAAAAGCATATTTAGGCTTAATGACAATAGCTTAGTGGTTTTTAATTATACTCTGAGGTCCTTAGAGCAGATTCTGAAACAGCTTTGGCAGCGATGGACAGCACTGCCAGCTCTGAGAGGCCTTACCATGTGAGTCGGTCATACTCGTTCTCCAACTTGTAAATAAAACTGACCAAAGAGTTCTTCAGGTCAGCCACCTGGCTGATGAGCGCCTCCAGAGTCAGCTCCAGCTGCTTTTCCTCTCTCTAAAAAGGTAGGAAAGACACAAGGTTGCCACAAGGGAACAAGGTTGCCACCTTTACGAGGACCAGAGGGGTCCACCACGTGTTCATAGCCCTCCCAAACACACACTCATCTTTGAGGGAAAGAAACAGAAACTCTTGAGTTAATACTATATATTTTTTCTCATGCAGACCTCTTTCACTGAGAGCACTCAGGCAGGAGATGAGCCTTCAGCCAGCTGTCCCCAGGAAGATCCAGATGTGCACAGTGAGGATATCATCACCTGCATTTTCTTTTTTACTACATCAGTCAGTGTCACCAGGGTTAGCTCATGCCATCTTTATGAGCTGTTTAAGCCAGCTCAGCTCTTGGTAGATTAGCATTCCCTCAACTCCTGCTAGCAGATGTGGGTACACTGGTGTCTTCATTCAAAATAGCCTCTTGCAAAATGTGCATCATGTCCATGGCCTGAAAGCCCCAGGTTCTACACTTCACCTCATTCTTTACTTTCTTCCTGCCCAAGTGCCATTTCTAGCATTTCTAGTTAGGAACTCCCATTTTGCTTTTCCCTTAATAGTTGTGGGAGGTATTGGTGTAATGAGGACCATGCTGGAGATCACCACCTGCCTTCAGCCTGACCTGAACTCATCAAGCACCTTTCCCACCAACATCCCTGAGTGAGGGAGGATGGCAACAAGCAAAGTACCAGAGCACAGGAAATCGGGTGCTGAAGATACCAAGACAGATCCTTGACTCTTACAAAAACCTTTTAGAATCTTGTCTAGCCTTACTTATTCATACAACAGAGTTGTGCAAAATATAATTAAAATTAAAATATAATTAAAGTTCCAGCCCTAATAAACTGCTAATGTAAATCAAGAACTGTAGAATAATAATCCACTTGGAGGGCGGGAGAGACAATGCAATTAAATAATAGAAAGAGAATGCGATTGGGAAAGCAGATGGGCTGAACCAGGCTGTCTGCAGGCTTGCTGCGAGGACTGCCCTGATTTAAGGTTGAAAGGGACCTTTGTGATTATCTAGTCCAACCCCGCTGCACAAGAAGGGGTCACTTAGAGCACAGTGAACGGGATCGTGTCTGGGGCAGGCGGTTGAATATCTCCAGAGAAGGAGGTATTTAAAAAATGAAGTTTAAATGAAGTGGATTAACATAAGCTTCACTTTATTTATTAATCATAATGTAGGGATTATCCGGTCATCTTCTATGTTCACAAGCACATTGTAAATTAAATAGATTAGTCATATCTAGCAAGAAGATAAAGGTTTATTTAAAAAAAAAAAGAAAAAAAAAAGACTATATTTCTGTTAACTGCCTTTGAGAAAAAGGCTGAGTCAACTTTGGCACAATCCAATCTCTAGCCTCCAAAGCGGATTGCTGGGTGCTGCAGAGGCAGATCAAAACACTCCAACTCTCCTCTGTCTTGCGACGGACCTGGGCAATTCCTGCGCAATTAGGAAACAAGTCTGTAACTTGCTCTACGTGTTCACTGTGCTTGTGCAAGGCAATTAATCAATAATGACCGCATTACAGGCTGGGCTACCAGCCAGCGTTTTATTGCGGAGGTAATGCATCCAAGGCAATTCACCTGGCCCGTCGCCGGTGCTTCTCCAAGAAGCCCTTGAGAGGCTGGGCGAAGCCACACGGGGCACACGCTGTTCTCGAGCCGCGGCTCCGCCGAGCTCTCTCCAAAGCCATTAGGGGCAGGAAGCAGATGGAAGTGCCGCCAAGCACGTATGCAATAAGAGCAGTGTTTCCAAGAAGCACCCTACCTATTGCCTGCCCAAAATACACTCAGGCTTTAGGAAGTTCGTTATACAATGCTGGATTAGGCCCAGGTAGTAAAGACTGGCCTTCTGAGAGGCCTCCTGATACCAAGGGGGAGGCAAAAGCTGAATTCACAGGAGGTCAACACAAAGCGAGGCACGTGGCTAAACAAGGGAAAAAGGAGCCCAGCTCTTCATAACCTGTGGCGTTCACCTAACTGAGAACATTATGGCTCAAAACCTAACATCTTTGGTGTATCTTCTGAAAACAACAACTCAAAGCTCAAGAATTAATCAACGAAACATAAGCAATAATGGGATTTATTTGAAAAGGAAGATAAAACTAAATGGTATTTACCGCTCTAAAAATGTATGCTTTATTTGCATCCTGAACGGCACGTGCAAAGCTCTACGTGTCCCTCCTTGAGCAAGAGGGTTGGACTACATCATCTCTAGAGGTCCCTTCCAACCTTAATGATTCTATGATCTCAGAAAAAAAAAATACAGTAAAGATCAGTGCAAAGAAAGGCAGCAAGGGTGACTGAAGACACGGTCTATAGCTAAGGCACAGGGCGCAGCCCGGCTCGTGCGAGCGGCAGGGAAGGGGACAGAAGGGAG